CCATTGAGCCCCGGGCCCGCCCGCTGATGTCATCCCCGGCCCGCCGCCGCCGCCCCGGAGGATTTAAAGGGCCCGTGCGCTCTAGGACTGGGGAGGACGCTGTGGGGCTGCAGCCAGAAACGCAGTGCCCCGGATCACGCAAGCAGCACTGTGCAGGAGCGCAGTGTCGCGCGTGGGAGTCGGGGAGCGCGCACAGACGCTGCCTCCCCAAGACAAGCAGGAGAGGGGAGCAGGTGGAGAAAGTGCAGCGGGGAGCAGGAGGAAGAGGACGGTACACAGAATCGGGGTTTTCCACCCTCAAAGCCTCCTTTACCTCGGGCCAGATCAGGGGGCCTCTGAGAAGGAAGGCCTGTGCCCATGCCTCACACTGCAGAAGGAGCCACAGAGTCGGGGCTCAGGCGCCCCAGGCTCTGAGTGCCTCAGAGAACACTTGCCAGGTTGATTCAGGGGTGGTGAAGGATGGAGGGGCTATGACCAAAAAAAGATCCAGGAAAAGCGTGGCTGTTGCACTCTCCTTCCAGAGAAATATTGAAGGCAGAGGCCCTTTTCTTCTCCATCCCAAGTCCCTTTCAGCTCAGCTTGGAGGAGGGCCACAGAGCAGACCCTCAAATCCTAGTCTCACCCCTTGGGGGAAGGGACCCCCCCATACCGCCATGGCACCAGGGCAGCCCAGCTCTGGCTCTGGGATGGGGAAAAAAGACCCTGCCCTCCAGGGCCCCCCGAGAATTAATGAAGGTTTCCTAGAGGCTTCCAGGACAAGGTTATTAAAATGATGATATTTACACTGTGCCACGCAAAGCTCCCAGGTTATGACACACCTGCACTGTCACACACACAGTTGTGACTGGACACCCAAAGTGGCTGAACACAGCTTCCGGAAGCACATTTTGAGGAAGAGTCACTTCCATAATAACTGCATCTTCCCTCAAGTCTGACAGACTTAGTCACACACTGTCCCAACTGGTAGCCTTACAGGCTGGGTCCCTTCACATGCTGGGAGGCTGGCCCGAAAGAAGCCACAGAGTTGCTTGGGACCACGCAGCCCTTCAAAACAGCCCTTCCTCCCAATGGTCCCAGGGTGCTGGGCCTGAAAGCCTGTTGTGGCAGGCAACAAAGGGACCTGGCCTGCCAGGGCAGGGTGTCACCAACCGGGCAGTGGATTTGGCTCAGCTATGGTGCTTTTTCTTGTTTTTGTTTTTTTAGTTGATTCCTGATCGGTAGACTTCATCTTCCAGATCAGATTCCTGACTTCTCTGGAAGCCCTGCAGGGTTCTGTGTCCT